GGGCGGGGGGAGCATGACTGAGTAGCATTTGCCCCTGTATCTTGCAAACCCTTATTTCTGTAAGCAGCTTCTCTACCTCAACACTTGCTGTTTGGCCTGAACACTAAAGTCTCAGTTGTGGGGCTTGTTCTGTGCATTATAAGCTATTTAGCAGCAGCCCTGGCCTCTTCCACTAGCTGCCTGAAGCACTGTGAAACCCAGCTATGACAGAAGCATTGCCAGGCATTGCTGCCCCACCCGCTTCAGAGCAAAATCACACCCCTGACTAGAGCCACTGCTGTGAAGCAGTCATAACTTTTAATTTTGTGTTACCTTACTTGTTTTGTGGCTAAATTTGAAAGAAGTTTTATAAATGTCTAGATAATTTTTTAATCAAATATGAGCTGTCAGCCCCTTCCTGTTGAGTAATTATATTTATGGTACTATGGCTTGTAGACTTTCATTAAAAATTTCACTTGGGCTTTAAAATGCTTAAAAGCTTTCCTAAAGTAAAATTACTGAGAAACTGTCTGAAAGGTTAAATTAGCCACTATGATTATACAGTCCCTCTGTCTAGAAAGTTGACTTGATTACTTAAAATTTGTAAGTATCAGTTGTGTGTAGTATGTTTTTTCTTCCTTAGAAATCATGTTGGTTATGTGTGAATTGCCCATCTTTTTATAATCTCTCCCAAATGAGTTTATACAATAAGTCTCTGGTAGGAGACAGATGTAGGAGTCAAAATATTTCTCCTTAACCACAGGAAGGGATTTTTTACAATGCCTTTTAGCAGCGGATGCCCAGGGTACCTCACCCAGCAGGAAGCAGAAAGAACTCTCTTTCCACAGTGGGAAAGTGGCATTTTATTCTAGCTAAATCCTTATGTAAACTTCCTCTTCTGGAAGAGACGATCCAAGTAATGGACAATTTCTTTAAAATACCTATAATCCTTGCTACAGAAGAAGGCCCTTTAGTTTAAGAGAAACATTTAAAATTAACAAATGCCTTGGGATATAAAAAAATTTTATATATGAATATTCTTTTGTGGTGGGGTAGACTTTGTCTATAGAATTTAGAATGTTTTTATTACATAGTAATAAGCATTTTCATTGATGATCAAAAAAATATGGGTTTTGGCAAAGCTGAAAGATTCTAGATGGATTTTGGTTACAGCCTCCAGAAGATCTGGACAATGAAGGACGAGGTAGCTTTTGTTTAATAGAAATCTTAAAAACAAAAATGATTCATGTATTGAATTTCAGTTGTTAAAAGGTGGGAGATGATATAATATGGTCAAGCAGTTATTTTTATCATCTGGACATAACTCTTTTTAACTAAAGCAATCAATAGTGTTATAATTCCCTTATACTCTAAGCTTAAAACAACTTCTTTATGTCATACCCTGTTGCTACCTCCATTATGACTGCATAATTCAGTGTGTCTTGAATGTCATCATATTTTTTATTACGCATGTAACACTGGGTTTGCTAGATTAAATGTCATTTAAAGCGATAAGATGAAAGCTAGTTTGGGGTTATTTTCAAATTTATGAAAAGAAAAAGTTCACAAGATACAAATCTTCTTGAAGCTTATACATAAAGTCTATTTTCAATTGAGCTCTGCCCTTCATGTGAAACCCAAAGATAAATTTTACCTCCCAGTTCTGTGCCTCTAGGGAACCAACATGGTACCTCAGTGCTGAGGGAGCCCTTACTTGGAAAAATGGTCTAATTGGGATTTTACGTGTTTTTTGAGAAATAGAATGTACCCTGATAGTAAAAGAAAGATAAGAGACAGGGGAGTGAAACCTCTGTATTTGGGGATGCCTTTAGACAGTTTATATTAAATAAAATTTATTATGAGCCCATTAGAGAACCCCATTCCCACTTCAAAGGAATCCAAAGGAATCCAAAGGTATCCTCAGCCTCTTTGCCGTGAATGCAAACATAACCTTATAGGGAGACAATGGAGGGCTTGTGTGTAAACCCACTTTTATTCTTCCTGATTTATCATATGATTGCATTTGGTTTTGTCAGATTTTTCCAGCTGGGAGAGATTATGAAATATTACAATGTGTTCACCATTTGGACCAAAGCTGAACAGTTAAAACCACAGCTTAGTTCTTATCTTAATCTTTCAAGGTGCTACAACAAAATAGCATAAACTGGATAAATTATAAACAACAGAAATTAATCTCTCAGAATTCTATAGATTTACTCTCTGATGAAGGCCCACTTTCTGGTTCACAGACTGCACCTTCTTGCTGTCTCCTTAGATGATGGAAGGGTGAGGGACTCTTAAAAGGGCACTGTTCCACTCTTGCAGTGGAGCCTCCAAGACCCAATCACCTTCCAAAGGCTGAGGCTATCACTTGAGGTTAAGATTTCAACATACACATTGGGTTGGGAAGCATAACATTCAAACCATAGCAGTTCTTATATTTTCTGTTTGTATGAAAGTGATACAAATTAAGGAGATAGCTTCTTGGCTTAAGGACACTTTACTTACTGTGCTTTGCCTAGAAACCAGGGTCAGGCTTCCAAATGCCTTAAGCATGATCTAGAATATTCTGCCTATAGTTGTGTATGTAACACTGGGTTTTCACGGTACTTTATGGTACTTAGTTTGGTACTCTGGTCTTTCCCTCCTCTGCAACTCACCCTGTGGCAAAGAAGAAGGTGGATTTAGGAAAGTCAGGAAGTGGTGGGCCAGTTTCTAAACCGATTCAGACTCCAAGGCTAAAGTGTCACTGTTTTAAAAAGGATATCACTTGTCTTTTTCCTTCAGCAAATCCCTGATCACATTAATTCTTAGACGCAGAAAACACACACACACAGAGCCCCCCAAAATGCTAAAAGTTTAGTCACTGTAAGCTTATAGTTCCTTAAGGAATTAAGCTTCCCGAAAAATACTGCATTCTCTACCAGTTTTTTCTGCCAGAGAGAATGCTGGAACGGGTACACTAAGCAATATTCAACTTTGCTCCAAAAAGTGCTAAGATTTTACAAATATATTCCTATTGACCAACTGAGAGTAGAAATCACATCAGGGAGTATGGTGTAGCACAGACTTTGGAGTCACATAAAGCCTAAAATCCAACATGTGTCACAGCCATGCTATGCAATGATTGCATTACCAAACCTTCTCACCCCAGCTCTCTGCTCCAGTAAGTGGAAATAGCAACAGCCTCTACCTCCTACAGGGTGTAATCAGTGTAACCATGCAAACAGAAGATATAGATAGTGCCTGCAAGTAGCACCCAATAAATAGCATCAATATTTTTATTACTTTCTTTGCATTAGCACTAATACAATAATCCTATAAAGTAAGTGTCGTAATTCTCATTTCATAAATAAGGAAATAGACCCTCAGGGAGATTAAGAAACTTGCCCAAAGTTGTCTGACAGAATTCTCCTTGTGAATGTACTCCAAAGAACAGTGTACTTTCTCTGGGATGTGAACATGTGGGCTGTAAGACATTCCAAGTCTCAGCTGGACACTCCCTTCCCAGAGGTGCCAAGCCCAGATTTTACCCATTGTAAGAGACAGCACATTGTAGGACAAAAGCCTAGAGTTTAAGTCCCAGGGACCTCAGGCAAGTTCTCATTACCTCTCTGAGGGTGGCAGTCATACACATAAACTGTCAAACTCAGATGTGGTATTCATTCAGTGATCTTGCATTGACAACCATTGACAACCATTTTGGCTAGTGCCTACCCAAAACAGGCTCTCCCAAAACCACACAGTGAACACATTGAAATGGTGCCTTCTATTCCCACCTAGAGGCCAGTCCAGTGTCTACTAAACCAAGGAGTGGTCAGTTATAGGATTAATATTTAGAATTTTAAAAATTACACAAAAGACACACTACCATTAATCCCCACCCCGCAAAATACTCTACTTTGAACATGTGTCTTAAATTTTTAAAATATTCAATGTATTTTTCAATTACCCCTTGTATCTTCCTGTTTCTACCTGTCTACCTACCAAAGTTCTTCTAGAGGGCAATCTACATGCAATCCACAAAGCAGTAGAACAAGGGAAGGGGAAAGTATACATCACATATTAGTCAGTTGGTTGCTTGTGACAAGGTCTCACTATGTTATCCAGGTTGGCCTTGAACTCACTATGTAGCCAGGGTGTCCTCACACCTGAGTTCTGGGATTACAGATGTGCACCACCACACCTGGCTATATGTCTTTTCCTTTAATATATCAATCCACAGCCTACGTTTAGCACAGTACCTGGGCTATGCCAAATCACTTTGTTGCCTGACCATGTAATCAAACATTTCTACAAATGGAGAAAGTGATTTTTTTTGGATCAGGTTCCTTTCTACTCTGAGTCCATTAAAATAAAACAATTTGAAAGCCTTCCAAAGTATGATATAACGAGAATATCGGTATTTACTTGTAAAACTATGCTAACCACAGTTCCCACAGTCAACGTCACCAAGCCACATAGTTTTTCTTTCCCCACAATTTTTTACCCATTCTTCATGTTTTAGCCTTCCCGGGTCTTCTCATCTCCATCCACCCTGTAGCTCCTGCCAATAACAAGATAGTCTTTTTTTAGTCCCGGCATTTTTAGTTCATTGCTCTCTTTGGTACCTTGAGACTTTCTTTGAATTCTTTATCTTCCCAGTATATTTGCGGGTCACTGTCAAAGCCAAGTCATGCACAGGTAGTAGAGCTTTGCTCCCTGTCTTTCCAGTGGACTCCGTTCTAGTGTTGGTCACCACCATGGACAAGCCTTTTCCTCTTTTTGAGTCACTGTGTCCTCATCTGTAGAGGGAAACAGCCAGCCTGGACATTTTTGAAGCCCCTCAGGTCAAAGGTCACACTTCTCCAACATTTCACCAGCTCTCTGCAGACCTTCATTTCCTTTGTATAGAGCTAGGAAGTTAGACCACAAGTTCAGATGAGGCAAGAGCAGTTAGTGGTCACATCTCTGATTCTTGTTAATGCCTCCATCAACCAGAAATATTTTCAACATTGTGTTTCCTCCCTTTTCCCCTGTAGACTGTAGACTGCTTTGGGATTACGTCTATCAGTTGCTTTCTGACAACCGGTACGAAAACTTCATCCGATGGGAAGACAAGGAATCCAAAATCTTCCGGATAGTGGATCCCAATGGACTGGCTCGGCTGTGGGGAAACCATAAGGTAAAAGGGCACCAGATACTTGCTCTGTAAACCAGTGCCAATGGGGTGAAGGGGCAGCACTCTACTTCCCAAGTCTGCCCATCATAATTATGTAGTTTAGTCCTCAGTGGACAAATAGTTAAAGACACCACCTTCCCTATGTTACTTCTGCCAGGTGCCCATTAACTTGGCACATTCCATTCGGACAAGATGTGTCATAAGTGCCACTCCCCTCTACCTGGTCCTGCCACCCCACTGTCATTACGAACTGTGTTTACAGGGAAGTACTGTGAGCTCTATGACTCACAGGACACCTTTGGGAAGTTGTCACTTCTGTCCTGCTCAGTTGGAAACTCCCGTGTTCACAAAAACCCATTTCTACATGGAAAATACTTATGTTCTGACTAGAAAACATCCCCTTTACAAGCACATGTACGAGAATTTAGATTCCTCTCGCCCCAGTTTCCCAAACTAGGAGGAGGAAATAGAGTTTAAAACATAGAGTCTTCTGTGCTAAGGAAGACTGCACAAATGTGCACATATGAAAACTGGACGATTGTGGTCCATGCCAGAAGACAGATGGGGAGGCAGATCTGGGGCTGTCCTTGGAGAGAGCATGGGACTCAGCCCAGCTCTACCAGGGCCTCCAGCCTTCTAAGAGGGTAGCCCGTCCTGTGGCCTGAGTGAGGAGGACTTGATGCAGGCCATGACCATGTATGGCAAGGCCCCTCTGACAGCCACTTCACTGTGCCTCACTGAGAAGTCTCTGCAACTCCCACAACAATCCATAGCCCCGGGCTCAGCGCCACTGTATTTCTGCTGCTACAAGAGGAATCTAAATGATTAAAAACTAAAACGACAGACCAGAAACAAGTTTGAGAAAAGTTATTGGAACCAATAAGGAAATTCTGTATGGGTTAGGAGGTGAAGGATGTCCCGCAGGTGGAAGGGAACCTGCAGGAAATGGCTTGGGCACAGCAGAGCAGGGTCCTGGGAGATAAGGGCAGCAGCTGTGGGATGAGCTTTGTTAGCTAGAGCTCCACGCCTTCTCACAGGGTGGGTTCCCCCTTAGGCAGAATCCTCAGCCCTGGTGAGTGTGGAGCAAAAAGGGGAGAACAAAGGGTTCCAGACCAGCAACAGATGCACAGGTAGAATCTCCTCACTGGGGTGGCCACTGAAGAGCTTTTATTCTGATAGCTGCCCAGTGCCTTTTCTAAGGTTCATTTCATTGTGTCTTTGTGCTTTTTCTTTCTTCCTCCTTCGAACAAACAGAACAGAACAAACATGACCTATGAGAAAATGTCCAGAGCCCTGCGCCACTACTACAAACTAAACATTATCAGGAAGGAGCCAGGACAAAGGCTTTTGTTCAGGTAATGCTTACTTTTTCTCCTTTCTTTTGGGAGGATATTGTTTTCTTTGAATAAGTGAAAGGAGGGAGACTATCATGATCTCTACCTGCCTTTCTGATAAAACAAAACCATTATGGCAACTATTACAGATTACTAGTTGCTGGTTTGTTAAGATTTAAGAAAAAAAATCTTTTCTACTTATGTCTCTCCTGTAGTAAAGCCAAAAACTAAATAAACACAATCTAATTCACTTATAAAATAATACAGTGACCAAACAGTATCCAGCATGAAAGAACTGGAGTTCACTAAGGGAATGATCAGAGTAGGTCATTTTCAATGGCAAAGCAAGGAATTAAGCCTAGACTTCCAGGTCACCAACCCCATGACCTGCTTTCTGAAACAACTTTTGTCAAACTGTAGATTATGACCCATAGTGACTCATGAAACACATATAATGGATTGGTCACAACCTTTTTTTTTAAAATAATAGAATAGAATTGAAAATATCAGAATATATCACATAATAAGAATGACAGATGATTCATGGAGATTTTGTTTCAGAAGTAGGTAGGTATGTGTGTGTGTATATGCATGTGTGATGATGTAAAAATGTATTTCTTACAATGTATCATAGTCTGAAAAGTCTGAAACTATACAAATATTCTCCTTTCCAGAACTTTTCACAGTTAATGAGCTCAAACTATTTAACCTGTCACATAGATTGTGATTGTAAGAACTAGGAAAGAAGATTGTAAGAACTAGGAAAGAAACAAAGGAGCATTCAAGAAAGATAGACATGGACCCTAACATGATTAATAATTGATGTGATGGCACCAAGTGCAGATTGAGAAAAAGTGATATGAACAAATACAGCTGTAGGTTATGGAGGTTTAGCCAATGGGACAGAAAATGGGGATTAGATGGGGCTAAAGATATTGATTTGGAATTATACACATAGGTAATAAGTGCTACTGTGTGGATAATGATACTGTACGTGAGATCAGCTCCCTGGGAAGGTGATGTTTATTAGAAAAAGCAGAGAACCCGGGGTTTGGCACTAGGATGGAGAGATAACTTAGGAACAGTAAAGAGAATTGCAGTCTTCAAAAGAAACAGAAAAGGCTATTCAGGAAATCAAAAGTTTGGAATAAATACAAAAAGAACCCTCCCACTTCTACTCCATAGATCTTTCTGTTCATCCTTCACTCTAAATTTAGTTCTTGGTTCCCAGTTATTTCTACGTTACTCTGTTTTCCTAGATGAGTCGATCCCATTACACAACTTCATTTGTCACCCCTGTGATTATGTTCTTATCCAGCCCTAAAATTCTCCCTGAAATTCTAAATTTAAATTTCTAAGAGTTTCTTGTAAGAAGTAACGACATAAATATCACATTAGTATTTCAAATGTGAAATCTTCAAGACAGGTCCTTCTTCACCATTAAAAACTCTACCCAGAATTCTTGTTAGTCATCAGTGGCATCATCATTGTTTTAGGCAATCTTGAAACTAGACTTACTTTTAGCTCCTCCCACGTCCCAGTCAGGCATTATGCAAGATTGTCCACTGGCAGCCAGCACCATTCCCATTTCATTCTGGGTTGCAGGGACTAGAAGCCTGGCAACTGCATTTCCCGGGATTTGTTGCCAGAAGGTCCCAGGTTGAAGTCTATGAACAATAATTACTTTCATGAGATTTGGAAGATAGAGAAAATACAAAATCTTTGTTATTGCTTCCTTGGCAGTGGAAGCTAATTTCTGCACTTTAATAATCAACATCAGGATTCATTCAAAATCTTCTATCCCTAGTCCTTTCCTCTGCCATCCCATATTATGATACACATTTCTGCCAGCCCAGGCTGCCAGCAACACTAATATAATTCCCTTTTCCAGACACACCTTTACCTTTGATTGCTTCAAACTTTATGGACAACTTCAGTTCTGTTCTCCATTTTTAGACCTGAGCTTTCCCACACATAGACACCTTCTTCTATCATCTCTTGAATTCCCTTGACCCTTCAACACCATGATTTGACTTTTTATAACACCATGACTTTTAATACTCATATATGTGAAGTCTTCCCCACGAGTAGATCATAAGCTCCTAGAAGATAGAGGATTATACATTATATAACTTTTATACCTGAGAGAGGTTTGTTTATGGCAAACCTGATAGAACACCCCAGTAGGCAGTCTAAAGATTATAGGCAGGTGATGAACCTTTTAGAGCTTTCCAGGATACAAACAGCTTACTGCAGCACACATGCCATAGGTTTGCCACCATTGTTACAGGTTTCTGAATTGAAGAAAAAAATGCCTCTTTCAAATTAGTTCACTGGTGCAAAGTAGAACACCTGACAAGGGAAGATGTGCAGATATGGAGGTGATTATGAAGGAAGTAACTCCATAGTAGGGACAGGCCATTTGCAATCAGGCTGCCTTCTTGAGCCACATAAATCACGGTCAAAACATGTTCACTGTCTAGATGAGCCCACTGAACAAGATGAGGCTTGCTGTGCAATACAGCTGACAAAGAACAGAAGCCACTCTAAAGGGGATGCATTACCAGCATTTTGGGTGGATCAGGATTAAAACTCAAAAAGATTCTCTTTCCTTTTGCCTTTATGTTTTTCTGAAAACTCCACTAACTTGCCCAATTGTCAAAATTTTCCATTCAACATGTAATTGTATTCTTTGAGCTAAATTCAAGTTTTGAATACCATTTCCTGGGCCAGTGGTCAAGGATAGAAATGGATATTCAGATCTCATCGGTGTTTATAAAATCAAACTCTAAAAACAGATAAGCGAGCTGAACCCTGGTACCCTCATATACTCCTGCAGTAATGTACCCCACAGCTCCAAAGGGTGCTCTTTCCCTCAGTCACCCCAGACTTTTTGTAGTCATTTTTGCCACTTTTGAGTCAGAGGAAAGGTTACCTTTTGCTAATTTACACTGTTAGCATAAATGTGTGAATTTAGTAGCTTTTCAACTATACAGTATATGATAGGTTAGAATTCACAGTGAAGGCTCCTTTACTTAAAATATAATCTTTAGACTCCATTTCTTCCTCCCTAGGTTTATAAAAACCCCAGATGAAATCATGAGTGGCCGAACAGACCGTCTGGAGCACCTTGAGTCCCAGGAGCTGGATGAACAAATATACCAAGAAGACGAATGCTATGAGGGAACTCACAGGCCGCCTCAGCAGGCCAGCAGCAAGGGCCCACCAGGACTGCTGGAGGCATGAAGGAACAGGCGGGCTGAGGGCAGCTGCAAAAAGAGACCTAGAACGGCAGGAACACTTCTCTTGCAGACCAAGAGGGACCCCAGAGCACCGTAGACAAACCACCCAGCAGCGGCAGAGCTGGAATTCCAGCAGAGGGCACAAGCCTGGGACTTGAATGTCACATTTCCTTCACCTTTGGAATCTTTCCATCTGTAATTCCTCACCCATGCCCTTCCAAATCTGTTGTTAGTCCCACAGTGTTTCTGTTTTTGTTTTGTTTTGTTTTTAGGAACATGCAGTTTGACTTTTCATCATTCATATAGGGGAAGACATTGGATGTTGTTTTCCTATGGAAATATATATCTATTATATATCTATTTTTGCAAATCTCACAAAGTATGGCCAGCCCAGCTGGTCAGGAAAGAGAATACTTGCAGAAAGGATCAGGTTCCTCTTTTTCCTGCCACGTGGGTCAGGTTTGTTCCTGTTGCAGTTGGGTGTTGGCTGAAAAAAGAAAAAAAAAAAGATGCTTTTAAAAATGATCACGTTCAGGAGAGGTCTCTTTTTCTCTTTCACTCTCCTTTCTTCCCTGGCTCCCTGTGTCCTGCCTTCTTGCTGTTATACTTCACATGCCTTTCTGCAGAGTCTTGGGGGTTCTTGAGAGCCTCTCAAGACTCTTGGGGACTGTTGACACCTAAATAGAATCAGTGACCTGGGTGCTTTGTGGCCAGCAGTACAGAATTCAGCCCCCATTCTGGCACTTAGCCACCCATCTGAGGGAGGCCAGAAACCTCACAGATGCTGCTGTACTCCAAAAAGATAAGTGCCAGTTCTAGTGCGTGCGTCTGTCTTGAGATGGCTGTGAAAACCACCCAGCTAAGGCGTAAGATAGACGGAGGCCGTCCAAGTTATTTGGAAGGCCCCAGGAGTTTGGGATTAGCTTGCAAGTGTTGCAAAGTAGAAAATACAAGAAGACCACACAGGCCTGGTGGTCCAGAGACTGGGCAAAAATAGTCTGCAGTGGGGAATTTATTTTTCTGAAGCAAGTTATTGAGGATAGGGAGAAAGAAAACCTCCTCTTGCTCCATTCCAAGGGCCATCTTGTGGTCAGTTACACACCCTCAATGAATTTCTTTTTTATAATTCTGAGTCTTTTTTAAAATTCCCTGGTCTCCACTGAACATATGTGAAGGGAGGATCCCAGCATGCAGTCCCAGAGGCAACTAGTGTTTGCCTAGCCTGGGCAAACAGGAAATTCCTCAGATCCATTATATTTTCCTTCCTTCATTGCTGTATTTCAGAAAAGAGTCATTCGTGGCAGTGTCTTGTAAAAAGAGGGCAGTGTCACCCTTCAGTACTTTTAATGATGACAGGTATTTTTAGAGAACTGTTTTAGATTCTCTTTCCTTTTCTAGCTATTTATATTGATTCTTCCCATACAGACAGGTTCAGGCATCCAATATTTGCAGTACAGACTTTTTTAATCCGCAAGATTAAGGCTGCCTTACAAATCACCTCTTCCCTGTTCCTGTTTCCCCTACCCAGTTAGACGACCATCTCCAGCTCTCTGGGGTACACACGTGTTCTGTTATTAACAGATGGCAGGTGACTAGATCTCCAGGTTTGTAATCCCACCATTTCTGAGTTAAGTCAGGTGCACAGAGTTGGGGGCACCCAGGCAGGAGGAATCGTTCTGGGGCCTTACTGAAAAGGACACCAGCCTGTGGGCAAGTAGATGGACTATGGTTTAAAGACACTGGAATTGAGCTGGTTGGGGCTTTTCAGTCTTGCTCTGTCTCACCAGACCACAGGTGGACACACAGAGGTGAACAACCCACTCTTTCTGTCACATGCTTCCCTCATCTGCCCTGTGGGAAGTCAGGGACCTTCTGTGTGGCTCAAGGACCTCATTGTGAAAGGTTTGGTCTTGGTCTGCTTGAATGGTGATGCACTTCTGCTGGATCCCAGCATGCTGCAGATGTCTTCCAAGAATATTCAGGTGATAACATTTCTCAGCCTCTGAGACGACTGGTACTGCATCTCAAATAGAGAGATTAAGCCAAAAAACTGGTATATTGTGAAAGTCAATGAGTTTAAGAGCTGGAGAGAAAGAGTGATTTTTTTTTTTTTTTAACTAATGCCATTTGTATGAATATGAAATTAGAGACCAGGTCGTGATATTGTGCTTCTTTGAGATTAGGACATCACATTCTGGCCAGTTTGCCCAAATATAAGAAGTTGGTCTCTTATTGTTCAAAGAATCTTACACATGAATTATGGAGGGAAATATCCTAAGACCTAGGATAACACAATCAGCTACTTCAAGGAGATATTCATCCAGTAAAGTCTTTATTTCCCATTTAGATATTACCAGTACTGATTATCAGTTGATTCTTTTTAACTGCAAATGTCTTCCTCCATTGCCTCTTTGAAAGAATAACTCCCTTCAGCACCCACCCCAGGGGGACTGTTATTTACATACTGCAGGATATAAAGGTTTCGGATTTAGTTGGTCACACCTGGAGGAAGCACTTACTGTCTGGGAGGGTTTCAAAAATAAACCAGACAGAAGCCCTGCCCTCTGAGAGTTTATATTTTACCTGCGGGATCCACCCATCATTTCATTTCTCAGTCCAACTCTAAATGCTAGAGGTGATGAAAATTTCACCTGGGACCAAATTAAAATCTCATGTGTCATCTGAATAGTTAGCTTTTCTCTCTAGCCACCATGGGAATTCTTAGTTCACAAAATCTGAAGGAAGAAAAAGAAAATACACAAATTCCTAGCAGAAAAGTGGGCACCATCATTGGTGTCTTGCCCTGTATTTTACATTAACCAGGCTGTCTCCTGTCCATCAGAAGAAAGTCATGGTAACTGACTAGATGGGCTGAATTGAAGGTAACACTGTCACCTACTTAGATGATCCAGGGCAACTTAGTCTTGGATAAACCAGAGTCACCAATGCTCAAAGTTCTTGGAAAAAAGAAGTACCAGATGGATTTTTCTCTCACTGTATTTCAAACCCTCTGATCCAATGTCTTGTCCAAACGAGAGTGTCACTTTCATTGACATTTGAAAAACTGTAACAGAACTTACCAAAATGACTAAGTAAGCACCAGATCTACCTTTAGCACCTAGGAGCCAATTCTCTCCTAGGTAACTTGAAGATAAAAGATTGAGAAAGACAAATAAAGGGCAGAGTCCTTTGCCTAAGCATTCGGTGCTAGTTAGGGAGCCATTCCTTCACTCAGCCTGCCCCTTTGAGCAGAAACATGGAATAGAGAGTGATGGAAGCCAATGGGGTGGGGAAGGGAAGGGACACCCAGTAATCACCGCCTGTCCACAAACCACAGAAGACTAACCTGATACTCTTTTTGGCCCCAACTACATCAACACTAAGTAACTGCAAACTCCCTGAATCTTTCATACATGCCAAGGGAACATTCTTGAAGATTTCTCTTTGTGACTGAACACACCTGCAAACCAGAATGAATCTAGTTTTTTGGGTTTTTGTTTTTTTTTTGTTTTTTTTTGTTTTTTTTTTTTTTGGTTTAGTTTCTAATCTCTTATGAGGTGTGGGGTTTATAAGGGACTGAATCAAATGAATGTAACAAAAAAGGAAAAAAACAAAAAAAAAAAAAGCCTTTTCTCAGGGCCAGTGAGTTGCAAATAATTTTTAAAGAAAAGCCTATAATTACATCATCTCAATAAATTTTTTATATAAAAAAGGCCCATGTCTCTGTTTTTAATGATGGGAAATACAGTTGGATAGGTAAGGTGTTCCAAGAGGTAAATCCTGTCTCCATTCAATTACGATCTAAAGTGCGGCCTTGGATCTCCACTGGTGAGAAGACTTATTACCTAGCTGTCTGCATCCAGTCTTTAGACAAGTGCCACTAGGAAGTTCAAATAGATCACCCAAATCTAAGGAGCAGCCACAGTTCAGAGCCAGTCCACAGGCCCGGTGTCTCAGCACACTGGCCAGTAGAACCAACTACCAACCAGTAGGCACTTAAGATTTCACCATCAAATATGCAGTCAGTGAGAACTACCTATTTTCCATCAGAGGTAAGTAGAATCAAGTACTGTAGAATGCAAATTGAAGGCCAAGCACATTGCTTTTTTAGCAATTCCCATGTAAGTTTGAAATACAGGAGTTTGAAGTCAGTGGTTTGTGGAGACAGGGCCCTAGCTCAGTGGTACAGTACTTGCCTAGCATGTGCAAGGCCCTGGGTTCCACCCCCATCACTGAAAGCAGGAAGAAAAGAAATGAGGGAAGGAAATAAATCAGTGGTTTCCTTATTACTTTGGTATTTAAATTCTCCTAGGTACTCATCTCTTGACCATGGATTGCTAAAATTTGGTCTTATATTCTATGTTATCAGAGCATAATATCAGTAGTTCACTAGTGCTAAAAATAATTTTGAAGTTACCATTTCTAGCAATCCACCATTAGAATCACGAGAATTGCTTAAAATGCAAGTAGCTGGCATAACCCCATAAACTGAATCAAAAACTAGGAGTGGGCCTGGCAGTCTGTTTATATAGAAAAGTCTTCCAGTGATTGTGACCCATGCTGAAGTTTGAAAGTCACTACAAACATCAATGGGTTCATCATACATGAAGAAGAGCATGTGAATGACATTTTAAATAATATTCAGAATAATTGATGACCATTTGCATTAACCATACTCAGACAACAAGGCTGAATTTCCCTAAAAGGAGATACACTAGAATGAGGCTAAGTGAACAGAGAATCAAACTGAAGTCATCATCTTGTTTCCTACAAACCTTTTAAGCAGTTAGTTTGCTGTAAAGATGAGCTGTTTTAAAGGCCAATTCAAACTGCTGACCTGCCCTTGTAAATTGGAGCACAGCAATTTATCCACTTATGCCCACTTATCTGCCTAACCAACCTGATCTAAAAAGAAAAATAAAAGGATCATGCACATCTGCCGACTGACCTTGGCTAACTGTCCCTTGAATTAAACACAGCCTAGATGACCAATAAGCCAGGGTATTCATAGAGGACTCTAAAACCGCCTGAAAGTGCTTGTGAATCACTTGGATATCTCAGAAAAATGTAGGTTCTTCTTCTCTATATCCTCTTGAGAAGTATGGGCAGAAGATCTGCTCTCCTATCCTCTCTCTGGGGATGTGGCTTGATGCCAATGGTGTGGTCTTCAGACCACAGTTCTGAGTGGCAGGAGCCCAGTGACTTCCCTTCAAATCCTGAAATTCTCACCCTGATGTATCTTGAGTTTTTCCCTTTACCTCTTTACCAGTTCCTCCTTGGAACAGTCCTTAGGGCCAATCCTGCTCTGCAAGAAGTTTGTTTGTTCTTTTTTATGGATAGCAACAAAAGTAAACACCATGATGAAACATCTCGTTGCCAAAGAACAGCCACTTATGAATCAAAATTTAATGTCACAGGATCTGACACCTCTTGTTCACCATCTTATGTTGGGAATGAGAACTCCAGCATTACTCTCTCCCTTGACCTTCAGAAAGACCAGTCTTGACCACAGTGCACACAGAGAAAGCTGACAATGCTATCCTTGATATTCCAAAAGGAATGAGGACAGATGAGCAGATCTTCCACCCAAATGTCCATAATATAGACGTTCAAAACAAACAGTCTTTGGTCAACACCTACAGTCCGCACTTGCAGAGTCACTCCTCTCATTTGCAAGGACCGAACTCATGACCTCACACTTGCCAGGCAGGCACTTACACCGCTGAGCTAAAATCCCTGGCCCACTCCTGTCATTTTTATAAGGTCCTTAGTCCCCACTTGACTGAAGAGAGAAAGCTTTGCTAGTAAAAACCAGTAGGGAAATTCTTCCCTAATTTCTTCCCAGGCAATAGAAGAATACTCTCCAAACTCTTAGCCATGCCCTCCTAGAATCCTCTGAGAAGGATTTCGGTCATCAGAACCCTTATCAGACCATCCCTGAACTGACTGTTGCTTATTCTGCCACCTCTGGAAGACTTGAGCACTTACTTCTGTTTGAAGGAAATTTCACTTTCCTTTGTTTCAATTAGAAGCACTCCTGTAAAAGTAATGAGTTGCCTCCCTGTGTGCACCTCTGACATCTACTAGATCATCCTGAGGATACAGTGTTTTATGCGTTTTTATTTCCATCAGCCCCTTGCATAGTGCTTGGTATGTGGTACATTTTAATAAGAGCTTTTAAAAAATGAGTAAAGTTAGATAAATTCTGTGACCCTGAGTCCTAACTTAGGACACCAAAGACATAATCCATAAAAAGAAAAAACTGGTAGATTGGACTTCATCAAAATTTAAATTTGCTTCCTAGGGACACCACTAAGGAAATGAAGCCAGGAAGTCACACGAGAATGGAAGGTCCTGGCAGCACAAGTGATTGATCAGTTCTGGCTTTTTTTCTAGCAACAGTGCCCACAGCTCCTCCTATACTTGCTTACTACCACATCCTCTACCAAGGATGTGGAGAACCCACGTGGGCTGGCATGGAGAGACCTACTGCCTGGTTAGTGGTTACCAGCCTATGGGGACACTTCCATCACCACCTCAACAAAAGCCAGAGCAGAGAAGGCAGAATCCAGGTGGGTCTATAGGGATTGTCCCATCACTGCGGCAGCAAAAGCTGACACCAAGAAGTGAACATCCACTCAGGCCCTCGAAAGACCTCAATATACAGAATAATACTAACACAGAGGGTGCCCCAAACTCAAAATGGGTTCCTTGGACCATGGTGACAAGACCCTACAATACATTTCTGGCTGAGTCATGCTGTTTCTTGAAACAATGGATTTTAGAAAGAGTCTATTGCAGAGGATCCTAGTAGAGGCCAAATCTACCAGATGGACTCCTGACCTCAGGCATGACCAGCGACCACCAGCACAAAAAAAGGACAGTCTTCCTCACACTGAAAGACATGCAGGATATACACAGGAAGCCTCATGCCTAAGCTCTCAGGAATACCCCCACGGCATCCACCTCTTCTCTTCCCAGCCTTTAATATCTCCTGAGGGCTTCCAAATATTGAATAAAATGATTTTCTATATCAAAAAAATAAAAGAAAATGAAAAGGTAAGTTACAGACTGGGAGAAAACATTTGTAAGTCATCTGATAAAAGACTTGTGTCCTGGATATATAAAAGACACAATTCAATAATAACATGAAAACTCAATTTAAAATGATCAAAAGATTAAAATAGACATTTCACAAAAGAAAGCATAGGAAAGACTATAATTTTAGTATATGTGCTGCTGAACCAAGCATAAGAAAGATTATAAACACACACACATGTACACACATAAAGAACTGCAACACCATTCATCATTAAGGAGAGACAAAGTAAAACCACAATGAGATAACGCTGCCCACACACAAATGGCTCAATTAAAAGACTGTCAGTACCAAGTGTTGGCTAGGATGGGAAGAAACCAAAACCCTTACACATTGCTAGTACAAATATAAAATGACACAGTCACTTTGAAATCAGTCTCACAGCTTCTTAAAAAGTTAAACAAAAATTCAACATATAATCCAGAAAGTCTACTCCTAGTTTCTTTCCAAGAAATACAAAAACAATGTCCACAAGAAGCCTTGTATACAAATGTTTGCCGTAGCATTATTCATCATGACTAAGAGCTGAATATAGTCCACATGTTCTTATGCGCAACACAGAAATAAGAGTATATCCACACAATGGAGTACTACTTAGCAAATAAAAGGGAACAGATCTTTAATATATATATACAATAATCGTAATGAACCCCATGCAACCATTCTGGAAATCACTGTGGACATTCCTCAAAAACTAGGATTGGAGGTACCATTTGACCTAGCTATTTTCTTTCTGGGCATCTTCCCAGAACATTTAAAAACATTGTCCCACAGTGATATATGTTCACCCATTTTTATAGCAGCACAATTTGTAATAGCCAATCTTGGAAACAACCCAAATGCTCATCAACTGAAGAATGGATAATAAAGATGTGATTTGGGATTTTTTGGTACCAGGAATCAAACTCATGACCTCATGCTTGCCAAATAGTCACTTATGCCACTGAGCTAAATCCCCAGCCCCAAGATGTGTTATTTTTATATACTACTACTCAGCCATAAAGAAGGATAAACTCAAGGCTTTTATGGGTAAATTGGGGGAAGGAGTATAGCTCAGCAGCATAAGTGTCTGCCTGGCAAGCTCAAGGTCATGAGTTCAATCCCCAGTACCCCTCCAAAAGATATAGATAGATAGATAGATAGATAGATATAATGCAAATGGATGCAACTCGAGACAATTCTCAAGTGAAATAAAGCAGACTTGCTTGTGTAAACGGAGAATTGTCTCCCTAGTGTGACAAGCTGAAAGTGTAAATGGGATCCAAAATGTATGTATTATAAAATGGGAAAAAGCTTCTAAAGGAAATAGAAGCTTTCCTTTGAAGGGGATGGCAAAAAGAAGGGAATATATATATATATATATATATATATATATATATATATATAATAGTTAAGACAGTTATACTACTAACTTGTCTGGTTCATTGAAAAGTTTGTGCTAATAGTGTTTACATAATTAAAGGCTGATATCTTGTACTCTGAGAAAGTAATTTAAAATAACAATACACAATGTATTATCCTCTTGTCTTGAAATTTTATTTTTTCCTTTAAAATAAAAAAAGAAAAGAGTAGTATTGAACCTCAAAAACCATTATATGAGGTTAAAAGAAATTAG